TTTTTTACATTCCCATTTATAATGTGTGAGAGTTCCAGTTGCTTCACATTCTTGCCAATACATATTATCAGTCTTTTTAACTTTAGCCATACTTATAGGTGTGTAATCATTATCTCACTGTGATTTAAGTCTGTATTTCCTCTACGATTACTAATGTTGAACATCTTTGTGTGTATTTATTGGCAATTTGAATATATTATTGGTGAAGTGTCTGTTCAAGTCATTTGCCTGTTTTTTAATATTGAGTTTTAAAATTATTGAATTGTAAAAGTTCTTCACATATTCTACACAGCAGTCTTTTGTTAAATACATGTATTATAAATACTTTCTCCTAATCTGTGGTTTCCCTTTTCATTTTCTTAATGTTCTTTTTCAAAGACCAAAAGTTTTAAATTTTGATAATGTCCAGTTTATCAAATTTTATTTCATGGTTTGTTATTCTGTATTATAAGAAATCTTTGTATATGCCAAAGTCACAGAGATGATCTCCTATGTTTTCTTCTAGAATTATTACAGTCTCAGCTTTTTACATTTAAGTCAATAATCAAATTTAAGGTAATTTTTTGTGTATGGTATTAAGTAGTGGTTAAAGCTTTTTTTTCATCTTACATACGGATATCTAGCTGTTCCACCATCTGTTGTATAAAAGACTTTTCTTTTCCTTTTAAATTGCCTTAACATTTTTGGTGATAATCAATAGACCACAAGTGTGTGAGTCTATTTCCAGACTCTCTATTCTACTCTGTTGAAGTATGTGCCTATCCTTTAGCCAATGTCAGACTGCCTTGATCAGTGCAGCTTCAGAGTAAAGCTTGAAATTAGGTAATATGAGTCTCCCAGTCTTATTCATTTATTAACTGTTGCTTTGGCTATTCTAGGTTTGCACTCCCATATAAATTTCAGCTTCTTAATTTCCACAGAAAAGGCTACTAGATTTTAATTAAGACTGTGTTGAATCTGTAGACCAATTTGAGGAGAGTTGACCTCTTGAGTCTTTCCATCCAAGAACAAGGTATTTATCTCCATCTATATAGGTATTCTTTATCTTAGTAATATATTTTGTAGTTTTCAGTGTATAAGCCTTGTGCATCTTTTGTTAAATTTATTCCTAAGTTTTTTCTTTTGCATTACTATAAATAGAATTGATGTAAAAATTTTATTTTCTAATTATGTGTTGCTAGTATACAAAAATATAATTGTTTTAAAACATTAGCATTTTAATACTATGACCTTGCTAATTTCAATTAATTCTAGGAGCTGTTTTATAGATTTCTAACAATCATGTCATCTGCAAATAAAGACAGTTTTATGTTTCTGTTTCTGATCTATATGCCTTTTTTTCCTCTTGCTTTATTGCAATCGCTAGAACCTGTAGTACAAAATTAAAAAGAAGAGCAGAAATTCTTGCTTTGTTCTTGATTTTAGAGGGGAAATATTTCATTATTAGTATGATGTTAGTTATAGGATTTTCATAGATGCTCTTTAACTGTTTGAGGAAGTTTATTTGTATTCCTAGAGTTTTAAAAATCATGAATGAGTGGTGAGTTCTGTGAAACGCTTTTTCTACATCTGCTGAAATGATCATGTTTTTTCTCCCTTATTGTGTTAATGTGGTCAATTTCATTGATTTCTGAGTATTCAATCAACATGCATTCTTGAGAGAAACCTTATATGATCATGTTGTATCACAAGTGCTAGATTTGATTTGCTAATACTTTGTGAAAATTTTTTGTGTCTTAAAGTTTATAAGGGTTACTGCTCCATCATTCTTCTTACTTGTAATGTGTTTGCCTGGTTTTGGTGAACAGTGTATTCTACACTCATAAAATGAGTAGGGAAGTGTTCCCTCCTTGTGTATTTTCTGAAGGGGGTTTGTGTGTAGAACTGGTATCACTTCTTTATTAAATGTTTGCTTAAATTTGTCAGTGTAGCCAATCTGATGGGAAGATTTTTATCAACAAATTTAATTTCTTTAATAAGTATAAGGCTCTTCAGATGATCAGTTTAATCCCAAATGAGGTTTGAAAGCTGTGTCTTTCAATGAATTTGTCCATTTCATCCGTTACTGAATTTGATTAGCATAAAGTAGATAATATTTGCTTGTTATTCTTTTCATGAATGTAGTATCTATGTTAACGTCCCTTCTTTCATTCCTGATATTTGTGTTCTGTTTTTTTCTTGATAAATATGGCTATTGGTTTATAAATATTGAAGAACTTTTCAAAGAACCAGCTTTTTTTTTTTTTTTTTTTTTTTCCCCCTTTTTTTTTTTTTTTTTTTTTTTTTTTTTTTTTTTTTTTTTTTTTTTTTTTTTTTTTTTTTTTTTTTTTTTTTTTTGTCACGCCATGGCTTGCAGGATCTCAGTTCCCCAACCAGGGACTGAATCCGGCCCCTGGTTGTGAAAGCACCGAGTCCTAACCACTGGACCACCAGGGAACTCCCAAAGAACCAGCTTTTGATTTTGCTTGTTTTCTGTTTTGTTGATTTCTGCTCTTCCTTTTATTATTTTCTTCTTTCTCTTTTGTTTTTAGCTTCTTTAAGGGGATTTTAGATATTTCTTATTTTGTAATTAATATTTAAAGCTATTAATTTTTCTGTAAGCATTGCTTTAGCTGCATATCACAAAATGTGATACTGTATACACTTCTATCGGTCCCTCTTCTTTCATTAACAATATGCCCTGGAGATCACTCCATAATAGTAATATAAAGATATCTCTCATTCTTTTTAGGAGTTTCATTATACTTCATTTTGTGGACGTCCCATAATTTAGACAACTAGTTCCTTATGGGTGGCTATTTGGGTTATTTCTAAAAGTCTTGCTATTACAATGTTGTAATGACGAGTCTTCTGTATATATATTTTTTCATACTGTTGCCTGCATATCTTTGGGATAGATTCTGAGAAGTGATATGGCTGCGTCAAAAGGAAAATGCATATGTAACTTTGCTATTTACTGTCATATTTTCCATTATCGAATCGGTAACATTTTACATTCCTACCAGCAGTATGTTGGCATGCCTATCTCTCTACAGTTGTGCAAACACAGTATGTTGTCAAATTTTTGGGTTTTGACGATCTTATTGGTGAGAAATGGCATTTCTGCATAGTTTTAATTTGCGTTTCTTTTACCATAAATGATGCTGTGCTTCTTTCTAAATGACTAAGAGACATGTATACTTCTTTTTCTGTAAACTAACTGTCCATATCTTTAGTCCAGCTTGCTAAAGGGTTGTGTTGACCTTTATTTCCAACCCACCTTGAGCCAGCCACCTGCCAGGGAGCTGCGCAAATCACTCTTTTAAGCACTGAGGATGAAGAATGAACAACATAGATGAAAATCCCTGCCCTCCTGGAGCTTACAGTCTTGTGAGGGAGTGGTGGGTTTGGCCCATGAATTTTGGCAATTGTCTCAAATCTTCCTCCTTAGCTTAACTATTCCCATTCACATCCAGCATTCATAATGCTTGTATCCATGTGCCATTATAATCCTGATTTTATGGACTTGCCTTTTGATGTGCTCTTTCAGACTGTTGTCTATCAGTATTTCTACAGAAACATGGCTTGGACTATCTTCTCCAACTCCCTCAATTTGGGTTAATTTGGGTAGTGTATTTATCCTGGTGTATTTCTTAGGATCCAACCCTTGGTTCCTACTCACTGCAGGAAGAACTACTCGCATGAAAATAATTGGGCAATTGGAGCAGCTTAAAAGTTGGGTGGCCTTGGCCAAATTGCTTCATCACTGTGTATCTATATTTCTTCATCTCTAAAATGAGGATGATAATACCTGTCAATGTGGAGAGACTAAAATGAATAACATGTGCAAATTACCAAAAATCTGTTTCTAACGTTCAAAAATTATTATTTATCAATGTTTTGTAAAAGAAAATGGTAGCTAAGAGAAGTAGTGTATTCAAAATTTCTCCAGAAAAACACTGTGCACTGAATTTTACTGTAAAATGTTTCTCTTTGCTGGACAGATACATCCATTGCAGACGCATTAGAAGTGTATCATTTCCTTGTGAAAACTTTTAGGAGTGTTGTGTCTTCCACAGTTAGAGCCCGCCAATATCCAGCCGCAATTCTAATCACACATCCAGTTTTTCTCACATAATGGCAATATAATACATAATGTGTAGTTCTTTGAAAATCCCGTGGCTTCATGCCTTCTTCTAAATGTCATTCTTTGTGCAATTTTCTTTTTCCTTCTACCTTCCTGGAAAACTGATCTTCTAAGATCCAGCTCAAATATTATCTATTGTAGAGTCTTTCCTAATCTCTTACTACTGCACTCTTAGAATGAAACATCTCTTCTTTTTATCTTCTGGACATTATGTATACTGCTATCATCATACCAACAACTTTATGTTATTATTGTTTACATAGCTAATTTCTCACCTGGACCTTAGGCTCATGGAGGGAAGAAGCTATTGTTTGTTCTGATGTCTCTATGCCTAGTGAGTATTTGCCAGGAGTTGATACGCTAAAAATGCTTATTCTCACTTAGAGCTCGCCTTATAAAATCTGAACTTAATAGACAGCTGTCTGTACGATGTGATCTCAACAATGTTTAGGAAGCTCCTTTTTTTGCTCTATACCAGCATCCAACCAACACATCACTTCTGAACTTCTTCTACCTCATCACTGGTGCCTGAAAAATCTGTACCAGATAGTAAAACACTTTTTCACAATTGGAGATAGATTAAATGCATATAAGCGTGGGAGAAGAAATACTTTGACTTGACTATAAAGACAGGAGGGTGGTAAGGGGCACTCTGGACTGAAAGTAGGGGTATGTCAAACAGGTAGGAAGATCAATTCAAAAGTTCATACTGAGAAAAATTTTTTCTGAGACTTTTGCTTGCCTGTCATAATTTATGTATTTATTGGCAACTGCAACCCTAAAATAGCCCAAAGGATGTGAAAAAATGTGATTTTTAGGTAGGAGTCAGAAATACTAATGCATATTCCTCTCTTTACTCCATATGCCTTTTCAGAATGCATAAGTTCAGTAATGGAAGATCTTGTTACATCAAACAACTCATTAATGCAGCAGATGGTCAAGGACAATTACAGTTGGGGTAATGTTCACCTTTTAATGATAATTCTAATAGAAGAATGCTTGATGCTTGTATAGTTTTTATGTATAGTTTTACTTTTTAACCCCAAGGTAGGTGTATTAGTCAGGGTTCCTGAGAGAAACAGAACAGGATGTACATGTGTGTTGGGCATACATCCTGTAGAGAGAGATTCAGAGAGACATAAAGAGAGAGAGAGAGAGAGAGAGAGAGAGAGAGAGAGAGTGTTTTACTTTAAGGAATCGGCTCACACGATTGCAGAGGCTTGGCAAGTCCAAAATATGCAGGGTAGGCCAGCAGGCTAGAGACCCAGGGAAGACTTGCAGTTTGAGTCTGAAGGCAGACTGCTGGCAGAATTCCCTTTCCCAGAAGGTTAGTCTTTTTCTATTAAAACCTTCAACTGATTGGATAAGGCCCATCTACATTATGGAGGGTAATTTACTTTACTCAAAGTCTACTGATAGAAAGTACCTTCACAGAAAAATCTCAAATAATGTGTGACCAAGTACCTGGGTACTGTGTCCTAGCCAAGTTGTCACATAAAATTAACCGTCACAGTAGAAAAATGGGGGAGAAAGACGGATGAACTATTCTTCTCAATTCTGGTTTCAAAATTCTTGAGAAAGTACTCTGATTTGTCCTGCTGGGTGAGGTGCCTACCACTGGGCCAGACAATTTTAATCAGGGTGTGGCATCTGGAAAAGGACTATCATCAGCCCAACTCATGTGAGGTGCCCATGATGGACGAATCCATTATGACTAGAGAATGGGTGGAGGCTGCGTTACCTTGTACAGAATAGTTTTACGTATAAAATGAGGTGTCACATAAATGGGGAATCATTGATTAACAGCTTATAAATGTAATTTTTCAAATGTTCACATATTTTTTCCCATATAGTGATGGAACAGCTTCTAATTTCTCTTTTTCAAGGATTTTTGTGTAATTTTAGTTATGGTTCGTTGATTTTCTATCATGTTGTATACAAGCTCTTGTGGAGAAATCATGGTTTTCACTCCATTTAAATATCTAAAATTGATTTCACCTACTTTCCTCTGAATATTTTCTAGCTTCAACGATTACTTCATCTATGGACAGAAAGCAGAGCACTGTAACACCTCCTGCAGAAGGTAGTATGCTGTCTTTGTTTTTTGTTTGTTTGTTTGTTTGTTTTTGAGGCCAGTACTGAAGCATGGAATGTTGAGCTTCCTTAGAAACATAGTCGATGGTCTGGACCAAGTCCAGACTTGTGCCCAGTTGAAGAATATGGTGATCTGAATGCTGTGGGATGAGGGACCTAAACGACCTCACCCATCTTCCCCTAAAACAGCTCAATTCCACTGGAAGACTGTGGAGCTTTCTCTATCAGGCACTGTGCTGGGCTTTGTGGGGAACATAAAGATGAGCAAGACTATCAGAGAGCCCCCAGAGAGCTCAGTTTTGTGGGGAACCCCGACAGGAGCACAGTTATCACACAGGCAGAGGAGGGAAGCACTCACATCGAGTGTACCAGGAGTGTACAGAGGGAGTGATTAAGCACCAAGGCTTAGAGAAGGCCTCACAGATGAGGTAGCATGTGAATCAGGTCTTAAAGGTAGAGTACTTTAATAGAAAAAGAGCATCGTGTA